TATAAGGTGCTATGAGAATTAAAGTAGTTCCCATTTAAAAAGTAGCAAAGTCCTTACCATTCAGAAGATATTTAATAAATTTTAGCTACTATTTTTACATTTATGCTGTTCCATAAACCTTCTCCGAACAATGGTAGCATCTAATCTTTTAATTACATAAAAGAAAAAGGGGAAAATACAAAGAGGAGAAATAGATTTTAAAAACCTCAAAATAGGGGATCCCTGGGTGGCTCAGTGATTTTCCTCCTGCCTTTGGTCCAGGGTACTATCCTGGAGTCCCGGGATCGAGTCCTGTGTCAGGCTCCCGACAGGAAGCCCACTTCTCCCTCTGCCTGTGTCTCTGCCTCTCTCTCTCTCTCTCTCTCTCTCTCTCTCTATGTCTATCATGACTGAATAAATAAAATCTTTAAAAAAATAAAAAATAAATAAATAAAAACCTCAAAAGATTATCCTGCCACAGAGAGTTGACCAAACAAAGCCTTGACTACAATGGTGGCTAGAAAGTGGTTTAAGATATTTGAGTCACTGTAACAATAAGATCAAAAACACACAATCTTTGGAGTGCCCGAGTGACTCAGTCAACTAAGCAACCAAGTCTTGATTTTGGCTCAGGTCATGATCTCAGGGTTGTGAGACAGAGCCCCGCATCAGTCTAAGCAAGGAATCTGCTTCTCTCTCTCTCTCTCTCTCTCTCTCTCTCTCTCTCTCTGCCCCCCCTTCTCCATTGGCCATCCCTCCTCTCTCTCCTTTCCTCTCTAAAACAACAACAACAGACACACAATCTCTAAGCAATTTATCAAAACTCTCATGTTTGCCTGTGGACCAAGAGAGGGAATTTGGAGACAATACAGAGAAATTTGACAATAAGGCAGTAATACCAGCCACATCTTCAGGGAGTGGACTAAGAGTTAACACGACCTTCCACATCACCTTTAGGAAAACATAACTGGATTCAACAAAGCAAAGGCGGGTGAATATAATTTTTATTATCGCTTTTTTATCACTCTTTTATTATCAAGAGCCATACAGCTGGGCACTAAATCCCACCCAAACAGGCTATGGGCCATACGTCTTTCTTGAAACAAAAGTTTATTTCAACAAAAAGTGAGCACATATATAATCCTGGCTTTTCCTATTTGTTCACTGAGAAATAAACCCTAATTTCCTGACCTAGGAAATCAAGTATATGACACTGCACATTAAAACCCAGTTTTCTGCATGTTGATGAAATTTAATTTGAAAATGTTGACATCCATGATCACTTCCATACACACTAAGTGTTGGCAGTTCTATATACAAATGGCTAATTCATACGATGTCTCTTAATCTCATGTTATCCTTATCTTTTAGTTTAAGTATTTTTAACTTACTATTGATTAAATGGCTTTAATTGCAAATAATGCACATGGGTCTTTGAACAACATAGGTATGAACTTCATGGATACACCTATATGAGAATTTTTTTCAATAAATATATTGGAAGATTTTTAAGAATGAATAAATTCATGGACAAACCATGTAGCCTAGAAATACTGAAAAAAATTAAGATAAAGTTAGGTGCATCATGAATGCATAAAGTACAGGTAGATACTACTCTATCATTTACACCATAAAACATAGACAAATTTATTATAAAAAGTTAAAATTTATCAAAAGTCATTCAGACAAACATTTACAGACCATACTTGGTGCCATTCATAGGTCAGGAGAAATGTAAACAAATATGAATGATGAATGAAATCAAACTGCATAAAATTAACTACAGTACATGCTGTACTACTGTAATAATTTCATAGCTACTTCCTGTTGCTATTGCAGAGAGCTCAAGTGTTGCAAGGATCTGCTTAAAAAGCCATGTGACACTAATCATCTCCGCCTGAGCAGTTCATCTCTCCAGTCAATTGCACATGGCAGTAAGAAGTGATCTCTCCTGGTTCTGCCTATTAGCAGTTAAATTTTGGGGGAGTCAAAATTTATACATGGATTTTCAACTACACTGGGAATGGAGAGGCAGCACCCCTAAACCCTGCTTTGTTCAAGGATCAACTGTACTTACTCCATATCACACAATGTCTTATATATACATTTCATATCTAAAAATTGCCCGGCATAAGCTTAAGATTGAAATCAGGAAAATAAAATTCGTATTCATATTATTACCAAGATACAACCAAATATATTTTAACACATTGGACAATTTAAGATAGTTTCAGTTAACCATCTTTTAAATATCTAAATTAAACCTTTCTGCCTATTCAATCCTTCATTTTACTAACAAAGCATTGTGGGGGTACTTATTGGGTAGCAATGGTGAAAATATCTGGTCTCTCCCTGCATGGCATCTCTCAAACTTTTAGCTTTTGGAACATTAAATTTTCAATTATAAGTTCAGTCTTATCTCAGATGCAGGAACCAATTCTGTACCATAAACTCAGAGCCCCGATGTTTTATTGTCACATCAACCTATGCATGGCTGTTCATAGTAGCACCTAGACTTTCTTCTTTTTACCTGAACATCTATTTGGATTCTTGAATTCCAAATATAATAATTGGTTCCTTACCTTTGGCTTAGACATCTAAAATAGGGTCTTGACTCCCTTCCAAAACCTTTTCTCCTGACCTGTCCACCTCACTAGCTAAGATTTTTGTTTCGTCTAAAACTCAGCTTCAGGTCTTTCTTATTAGGTCACTACTTCACCTGTCCAGGACTGTAGAGACTTCTTTTCTGCCCCTACCTTATCCTATTTGACACATCTACTCCCAACTAAGCCTCAGTTCTGATAAGTTGCAGGACGCAGTTCAGACGTTAGTATACATCATGGATATACAAACTGCCGTGGGTAGGAAACAATACATGTATTAATTCAGGATTTGTTTGCACTTACACTGTCAGGAATAAATGTTAAAATAAAATGCTTGCTAATGAACATCCACAATATTAAAAGAATGGAAATGACTTTGAATTTCCTCAAATTTGCAAGTTAAGATACTTTCACACAAACTAGCCCAGATTATGGTCAATACTCAATGATCTTGAATGTGTGTGATCGTTATTTAATTTATTTAAGGAACTGTTGAGATTTTTGATGATACCTGTGGTATCCATATTGACTGTTGGTATTTCCCTCCATTAATAGCTATTACTTACCCCACTCAGCTTCAAGTAAATGCACTGATCCATTTATGTTCCCAGAGTGGTATTCAAATTGTTCTAAAATAGCACGGGCATTAACCAATTAGAATGGAGGCTAGACATAACTTTGAGATCCAATAACAATTTTTTCCTCCTCATACCATGTTCCAATTGGGTGTTCTGTGGAATCCTTCCTGTGATTCACAAAGTTAGGATTCACCTTCTAGCAATTTCTCTTAACCATCTGCATCCAGGCAAGAGATGAAGAAAAAAGTAAAAACATGAGAAAGAAATACTTGCTCTGAACCACCCTGCCCCGGAGGTGATACACATTACTTCCACACATATTCCATAAGCAAAAAGTCATATGCCCCACCAAAATGCAAGAGGCATAAGAGGTACAGCTAGGAAGTATATTGAATGAGCACAAACCACTGTCTCCATCACATATACATTATATTAAAAGGTAAAAAGTGCCATGGAGAAAAAATGAGCAAAAGTAAAAAGCACGTTGAGTGTTGAGAAAGGGGTCACAAATTTTAAAAAACTCACTCAGAGCAAGCTGCATTAAACCAGTGACAATGGAGCAAAGGCTCAAAAGGGAATATGGATAGATCCATACATGTATCTGGGGAAAGAGCATTTCTGGAAAAACTCAGTTCAAAATCCAAGATGTGGGATAGTACCTGGTAGGTCCAAGGAAAAGTAAGAAGGCTGTCACGGTTAGACCAGAGTATTTGCAGGGAGGCCTGAGAACTCTGAGAAGGGGTGGGAGCAGCCAGTAGATTTAGATAAGCTCTTATAGGCTAAATGTCTGTGTCCCCCTCTCCCCAGTGTTGAAGCCCTAACTCCCAATGTAATGGTATTTATTTATTTATTTATTTATTTATTTATTTATTTATTTTATTTTTTATAAAACTCTAAATTTATTCAAAGTGTTAAAAGATTTCACTCTCCCCTCCAAAATACTTTACATTTTAAAAAATCAAAACAGTTTTCTATTTTCTCAGCCACTGTACAAGCTGCTGCTTCCCTTCCTGGGCACCATACTCTGGCCCTCTGACCCCCTTCCCCTCCCTCCCTTCACTTTCAATATTGCTATAAGTTTGTTTATAAAACTTTCCTTCCCCTTCCCAGATGTAGCTTCCTTTCCAGACTTCAGGCCCTTGGCTGCAGGTAAGGCAGGTTGGATGGGCAGGATACTCAGGCAATACCTGAAGGGCAGAATGCTTTGTGCTTCTGGGATAAAGGCTGATTGGCTTTTTTCTTGATCAAGTGGAGGATCATTTTTTCTTCCCCATGAACATCTGTTGAGGGCCACATATTTGGCTTGGGGTTGCCCATGGCTGGGCAGCCCTGCCCCATCTCAGGTTTCCCCCAGGCATAGGTCCATGACAGCTGGGTCTGACCACCATACCATTTATATGCCTGTGGATTGTGAAAGACAGAGTGGCACATGGCTACAGTAGGGCCTGAAGATCCCCAACTTTTCAGAACGTGGGCACCAAATCCTGAGGGGAGGAATTTTTGGTTTTTGGCAGGCAAAACCAGGGTCAGCCAGGACCATGGGAGGTAGGGATGAGGGAGAAAGGTCTAACCACAGAGCTCTGGGGTGAGCAATGTTCCGGCTGCCGAAACCCCCTCCCCTCTTCCATTCCCTCCCACCTCCCCTTCATCCTGTAGGTTGCAGGATGATTCAGGAAAGGAGGATGGAAAAGAGGAAAAGGATTCTGTTCTGCTGATAGGAAAAAGGCAGGAGATGACAGCACTCGGGGCTGGGGGAGGCTTGCTGGAATCTGTAGTTTTCATAGCTTCTCAGTTCCAGGAGAGAGGGTGGGGGGCCGGAGCCAGGCCCGCAGAGGGTTCATCAGCTCTGTTCCTTGTCCTTGACTAGGAAGACTGTGTGCTGGCCCCCACTGGACACAGATAAGACCACACGGTTCTCCAGCTGTTTGCCTGTCATCTCCACTGGGCTCCAGGTATCGTCTTCCTGCCCTGTGCCCAGCTGATAGTTGGTGCCCATGCCCCAGGCAAACACACGACCATCCTTGGTCACAGCATACCCCACGGAGGCCCCACAAGCCACTGAGGAGACAGCAGGGAGCCTGGAGATGAGGGTGGGTATGCTCTTCTCCTCAGCACCCTCCCCAAGGCCCAGCCGCCCATACTCAGCCCGGCCCAGGCTGTACGCTTTTCCTTCTGAATCCATGCAGACTGTATGATGCTGGCCACCAGAGAAGCCCACCCAGGACTTGGTAGAGTTCTTGAAGGATGTCAGGTTTTGGGGTACAAAGCAAGATTCTGTCCCTGGGGTTCCAAGCTGATGATAGTTGGAGAGGCCAAAACCATATACATGGCCCTCACAGGAGATGGCAAAGGTGAAGTAGGCACCACAGAAGGCATCTTGGAATCTGACATGACCCCGGCTTCCTCTGGATTTCAGCATCACACACTTGGGGACCAGGAGTCGTTCAAGGCCCTGACGGCCACCACGGTTGGCAAATAATTCAGGCACACGGCCCAGCTGGCCCTGCTCCCCGCAGCCCAAAGTGTAGAGGTCACCATCACCTGTCAGCATCACCAAGTGGTCATTTCCTGAGGCCACCTTCACTACAGGCACAGTCAGCTGCACTTGCAGGGGCACCATGCTCTTCTTCATGGGCTCCAAGAGTCCAATCACACCATTATTGTCCCGGAAGGAGCCCCAGAGGAAAACTCGACCATCCTCAGTGAGAGCTGCTGTGTGACTCTCTCCTGCTGACACCTGTACCACTTTCTCTTGCAGTTCCACTTTCCCGGGGACCATCTCGGAGCCCTCCACTGATGTGTCCCGTCCCAGGGCTCCTTCATCGTTGCAGCCGAAGGAGTAGACCTGGCCACTTTTGCTTAGACACACAGTATGCATGCCCCCAGCCTCAGCTTGCACGATGTCCTCCGGAATGGGCACCAGGGCTGGTTTCTTCCTCTCCATCACATTCTCGCCCAGCCCCAGCTGGCCCACGTCGCCCTGGCCCAGTGTCAGCACGATGCCTGGTTCTGTGCTGTGGGACCTATGGGAGACTGGAACACGACGGGAGGCAACGGCCCTCACTGCCTGGTTACGACGGTCCTTCACCTTCTTGCTTTTGGGGAGAGCATCTTCTGGGGGTGACCTTCTCTTAGCTATACATTTTGGTGGCATCTTCCTTTCCTTGCTGCAGGTTTGCCACAAGCAACTCCTCCGCTCGCCGGCCCCGCCGCCAACTGCTGTAATGGTATTTAAAGGTGGGGGCTTTAGGAGGTGATTAGGTTCAGATGAGGCCATGAAGGTGGAGCTCCCATGATGGAATTAGTGCCTCTCTAAGAAAAGGAAGATACCAGAGCTTCTCCTCTCTACCATGTGAAGCTATTGTAAGAAGATAGCTTTCGGCAAGCCAGGAAGAGGGCCCTCATTAAGAATCAAATCTGTTGGGGACACCTGGGTGACTCTGCTGGTTAAGGAACTCTTGGTTTTGGCTCAGGTCATGATAACAGGATCATGAGATCAAGCCCCATGTCAGGCCCCAAGCTCAGTATGTAGTTTGCTCATCCCTCTCTCTCTGTTCCTCCTCTCCTCTCTCTCTCAAATAAATAAATAAAATATTAAAAAAAGAAAAAATTATTGAATCTGTTGGTACCATAGTCTTATACTTCCTAGACTCCAGAACTGTGAGAAATAAATGTCTGTTGTTTAAGCCACTCAGTCTATGGTAGCTTGCTGTGACTAACCAAGCTAACGAATACATAATATATTGTAAGACCTTTTGGGTTGATTCTGAAGAAAATAGAAGTCTACTGGTGGAATGTGATTTGAAGAGAGGTATGGTGTGGGCTACATCTGGCAAGATTATTCAGACTGTCATTTGAGAAAACACTGATGGGGTAGGTATGGAACACGACAGACTAGTTAGGAAACTGTTACAACAATACTGATGAGGGATGATGGTAGACTGGACCATCAAAGATTGTAAGCAGATGCAAAATTCTGGATTTATTCTGAAGGTGGAGCCAATGTATATTCTAATAGGTTGGTATAAGCTGTCAGAGCTCAACAATTAGAAAGTGGGTGTCATCATTAACTCATAATGAGGGAGACCATGAGTGAAATAAATTTAGGGGAGGACAAGAGTAGAAATCACTTTGTGGACATATTAATTTTGAAATATATATTAGACATCTAAATGGGGCTATTGAATAGTCAGCTGGATATATGATTCTAACATGAGGAGAGAGGTCTGGGTCTCAAAAGATATAAATCTGGCAAGTGTAAACATGTAGACGAAATTTAAGTCATGAGGCAGATGAGATCACCAACACAGTAAGGAGAGAGAGGAGAAAAGATCCAAGGTCTGAGGCCTGAGCCAAAGTAGCATTACAGGGTCAGGATAAATAAGACAAATCAGAAAAAGAAGAGAGAGAGAAGACGCAGTAGTCATGCAGAAAGAAATCAGAAGACTGTGGTATCCTGGGAGCTAAGTGGAGAGTTTTTGGACAGAGGAATTCTTGACTGTGGAAAATAGGTCCACTCTTAGTAATAGGCTCCTAATAGGTCAAGTAAGATGAGAGAGAGGAGTAGACTGAGCAACCTGAGCTATTTGTTGACCTTAATGACAGAAATTTTGGTGGAATGTAGAGCAGCAAGAGCCTGAGAAGAGTGAGTGTAGGGAGATATAAAGAGAGGAATCAGGGACCAAAACTGCAGATTACCATTTTGAGGACTTTTATTGCAAAGAGAAGCAAGGAAATCAGGCTGGAGAGAAGATTTTTATCTTAAGATGAGCTAACACCATGTTGTGTTCCCAATATGTATCAATGGGAAGCTGCTCGAGACTCCAATATAGTCACAGACTCTAGTTCACACATTTCCTTCAATGACAGTAATAGCAGCACAATTCTCACTCTATCCTTGATCAAATATAATTGTTTTGGCTTCCCTTCCAAGATTAACAGAGAAAAATGGATATTCAATCCTGATAACAACTGAACACTTTTTAAACATATTCTATGAACAAATGCCCTCTCCCAGTTCAACTTAAAGTTAGCACAATTATGACCTTGGTAAAGTGTTAAAAGTGTATTTATCCTTCTGTCCCTTCCTTCCAAAATATCGCGCACACTGTTCCTATCTCTTTTTAATGTGAATCATCAAATTGTTTCTCTCCTTATCCTTTTGCTTCAAAGCAAGAAAAGATAGATCTTCCAAAATTAGAAGAAACACACACATCTTCAGGAGATGAATCTTAATCTAAAATCTCTGGTCACCCTACACACCGACATCACTCTCACCATCAGCATCTCTACCTGCAGACTTAAGGCAACAGAGAACCCATTGCTATTTAGAAGCAAGATGCTAGGGGATCCCTGGGTGGTGCAGCGGTTTTGCGTCTGCCTTTGGCCCAGGGCGCGATCCTGGAGACCTGGGATCGAATCCCACGTCGGGCTCCCGGTGCATGGAGCCTGCTTGTCCTCTCTGTCTCTGCCTCTCTCTCTCTCTCTCTCTGAGTTACTATCATAAATAATTTTAAAAAAAATTAGAAGCAAGATGCTTCTCAAAAAAGAAAAAAAAAAGCCTAGCTATTTCACAGCCTTCCTTAGAAAGAGTTCATGTGGCAACACTGTGACATACTGATCACGAGTTTCCATCAAACAGCACCGGACTGAAGGTCTCCAGAACTGGTATTAGTAGGAACAGGGGAAAAGGATAGAGGTCAGTTACTATTCACCTGTTTTCACACAGGTAAGCAAAATTTAACTTGGAGACATCTGTTGGATCCAGTATAGTAAAGAACTTGAGAGACTGAAACATATCACATAAATTTTAAAATATCCCTTTAAATAAACATTAAACACACTAACCGTTTTGTTAAGAATGGCACTTGGGTGCTATTTGATATTATTTTTGATTATTTCAGCAAGCGGTTACAAGTAAAATCAATTAAACCAGAACAGGAGGTAATTCAATGCCTTTCATTGATCAAACATTTAATCAGAGTATATAATGTAAGGTTCTGTGCTAGGGATACCAGGATGAAAAGCAGCATTTTTCTTACCTTTGAAGGGCTCACATTCCAACAGAGGAGACAAAAATTTAAATAATGAAACTAGAATGTAGAAAGTGTTCTAATGAAATATTAGAAAAAAGTACAAAAAGATATAGAAACAAAGAGTAACGGATTCCACTAAAGACAGTGGGGAAAACTAAAGACAAGAGTTAATATGTGAAAGCTAAAGTTGGCTTTCTAGGGCTTGGAGAGGGTTGGAGGAGGCCAGAAACACAGGTCAAACAATTTAAGGCAGGGGTGTCGTAGTTCACTCAGGCTGCTATAACAAAAATACAATAGATTAAACAGTTCAAACAACAAATATAAAAATTTATCTCTCACAGTTCTGGAGGCTGAGAAGTCCAAGATCAAAGTGCCTGCAGATTTGGCGTCTGGGAGGGAGTTGACTACTTGGTTCACAGCGGGCTATCTTGCTGTGTCCTCACATGGCAAAAGGGTCCAGGAAACTGAGATCTCTTCTCTAAGGATAATAATCCCATTAATGATAGCTCTACCCTCATGACTTAATCACCTACCAAAGTCCTCATCTCCAAATACCATCAAATTAAACATATGAATTCTATGGGGACACAAACATTCAAGGGGTAACAGCAAAAACAAAGGGAGTAAATGTAACATGGTGCTTTCAAGAAGGAAACCTACAGTCATCAAAATCCTAGTAGGCCTATTTCTCAAAAACAAGGCAGAGCAAAAGAAAGACTTTTTCCCAGAAAGTATCTCTCACAACAGTCCCTGAAAGGTAGTGGTACTTGACAAGAGAGAGGGCAGACATGGAAGTGGCAAAGGAAGACGGTCACCTTATGGGAAAACTGTTAGAAAGAAAGAAGGAAATTTATCATCCTTGATTTTTCCCTTTTCCTCACTACCATCTTCCCTAGCATTATCTCAATCATCAGCAAGTCTAATAGTTACACCTTCAAAGTATATCTCAATTCTATCACTTCTCCCCATTTTCTCAGTCCAACACTTGAAGCCATCACCATCACTCCCCTGGATTACTATAATAGCTAACCGGTCTCCCCACCTCTTCTCTTTTCCCCCCAAATCCAGAGTTGTCATTTTAAACCATGAATCAGATTATATCGCTCCTGACTTAAAATCCTCCATAAGAATATAATTGCAGTTAGAATGAAAAGAAAAATGTCTATTATTGTCTAAGTCTCTTCAGTAAATGGTGTTGGGAAAATTGGACAGCCATGTGCAGAAGAAAGAAACTAGACTTTTCTCTTACACCATACAGAAAGATGAGCTCAAAATGGTTGAAAGTCTAAATGTTGTACTCATATGTGGAATATAAAGAAATAGTGAAAGGGACTTAAAGGAAAGGAGCAAAACTGAGTGGGGAAAAATTAGAGAGGAAGATAAACCTAACTGAGAAACAAAAGATTGTGGATGGAGAGGAGGTTGGGGGACTGGGGGACTTGGTGACAGGCACTAAGGAGGGCACGTGATGGGATGAGTACTGGGTGTTATATGTTGGCAAATTGAATTTAAATTAAAATAAATAAATAAAAATAAATTTAAAATAAAACAAAATGTCTATTACTGTCTATATTAGGCTCCTATCCACCATCATCATGTATTTAATTTCTTTGCCCAGAATCCTCTTTCCTAGGACATTAACATAGCCAGCTCTGTTGCTACTCGGTTTTTGATTTTTTTTAAGATTTTATTTATTTATTCATGAGAGACACACAGAGAGAGAAGAGAGAGAGAGAGAGAGAGAGAGAGAGAGAGAGAGAGAGGCAGAGACACAGGCAGAGGGAGAAGCAGGCTCCATGCAGGGAGCCTGACGTGGGACTCGATCCCGGGACTCCAGGATCATTTCCTGGGCTGAAGGCAGCGCTAAACCCCTGGGCCACCAGGGCTGCCTGCTACTCAGTTTTCAGCTCAAATGCCACCCAGGCAGGCCTTTTCTGTTCATACTATCGAAAGGGCTCCCTCTGTCCACTGTCTGCCCATTACTCTGTTCCATTTTCCACGAGCACTTATCACTACTTGAAATGATCATGTTTGGCTTATTTACTTGTTTATTGTCTCTGCTACCTGCAAACTTTTCTTCTGTAGCTTCCTTATCTCTCAACCCTGATAGAATTGTAAA